AAAATTCAGGCAGCCGGTCGGACATCGGGCAGCCTGACCGGGCACGGGCAGGCACCTCCTGCCCGAAGCCCGTCCATGGTGAAATTCGGGTCGGGCAGCCCGAATTTTCGGACAGTTCAGATTCAGTACTTGAGCAAAAATTTAGATTTTTCGATGGTCGTGGACGGTGAATCTAAAATTTCAGCACTGATGGTAATTATAAGGGCGAGAAGAATTTCTTAGCAAGTTATACTCTATTCATTTCACCCTTACGAGGCTGAATGCATTTGTCTCACAATGAGTGAGCCCCCACTCTACTAGGTGGAGCCCCTTGTTGTTAGACGACCCGACTAACGTTCTTAAGTTGAATAACATGCGGCAAATTTTATATGATGGCAAAAGGCGAGAAAATTATGATTTATTCATACAGGTGGCAATCCATTAAAGTTAATATAATAGAAGGGAATCTCCACATAATAGTAGAGAATTATCGGCATCACTTTTTTTTTATCTTTTTTTATCACTGTTTATATTTATTATTTAATACATAAATTTTATTAATATAATATTATTTAAATAAAAAATAAAATAAATGAGTTTACATATTAAACAATAAATAAAAAAAATGACAGAAAGATTGATCCGAATATTTCTCCAGTTATAAATAGTAGTACTTTAAAATCCAAGCAAACTCTTTTATCGTTATTTAGGTGAAAGTTACTTAAAAGTTCACGCGAGCGCGTGGTTGCTATTTGTTAGGAAATTAAACATATAAGGGGCATTTGGTATGCAGTAATCTTAAAGATGGGAATGAGAATCTATAATATTATCATGTTTGGTACAAGAATTATAATTTTTAGATTCTCAAGAAAGTGATTACTATGGGATTCAATTTCCCCATTTTAAGGTAATTTGAATATCACCCAACATGGTGTTATTCAAATTCACAGGAATCTCAAAATCATGATAATCTTATTATTATTATTATTATTATTATTCCTTAGCTTTGATTACTGCTATGCTTTCAACTCTTCGTAGTGTCCTTGACTCCGATCATTTAGAACTCCTTAGTATGATCATTTGGCTGGTCTGGAGAAACAGGAATACGTGGGTTCATGAATCATGATGGACGGATCTCCCTACGTGCTAAACTTTTGGAGATTAGCAGTAATTGGCTGACAGTTTTTTTAAGAAGTGCCGGCTTAGTTTGGAGGTGTCGGTAAGAGAGCAGGTTGCAGGGGATCGTCGGTGCATTCCGCCTTCTCCGGGACGGCTGAAACTAAATGTGGACGCCTATGTCATTCTGTGGGCCTCATATTACTATTATTATTAATATTATTATTTGTATTTTTATTAATAATATTATTATTATTTTTTTATTAATATTATTATTATGGATCTTCTTGCATGCGAACAACCAAACACAGTAATGTAATATTTCTGAGAATTTGAAAAAAAATTTCTATATGGAACCAAACACAGTAATGTATTATTCATAGGAATCATATTACCCTCTATCACTTTCTTAAGAATATGATTCATATTAATTCTCGCATACCAAACGCTCCCATAGGGAGTTCAAACTAACCACCATATAAACCTTTATACTTATTTGATTGGAGAGTACAATTTTGGCTCCATAAGAGAAACTTCCTTTGTTTTGTTGACGAGAGAATAATATTTTCCATTCACCTTCTTTTTTTTACCGCTTTTGATATTCTCCAAAGACTTGCTACATCGTCCTTTACGTTAGAAAGTTCGTGTTATATTTTGTCAGTTTGATGAATATTTGAAACACCGTTGATTGTTTCAGAAAATATATAATAGTAAGTTACTAGCGGCGAAACCAGGGGAAATATAATAAAAATATGAAAAATGATAAAAACCCTACTATTAACTAGTTAGTTGGAAGCATATGACACACATGTGTATATCGATCAACTTATTGAATTGTTTGATTCTGTTTCATTTTTGTTATGCTATGGTGATCTTAAAATCTTTTTAGCTTGCAAGTGATCTTTGAAGCTTGATTATAGTAAATATGTATTACTAAAGCCACAGTGAATAAAAATTCCAATGTATTCAAATTTTATAGAAATTTTATTGATGTATAATTAACTTACTTGTGTAAAATGAATTGGCGGGTCTATAATCTTCACGACTTTTGCAACGAAATTAGTTGTTGTTTGTCAGGAATTGTACAGTTGTACTTACTTGACGCGCAAGAACTTTTTGGATATAACAGGAGAAACTTTTTGATATTCTCATTAGGATAATTTGATCGTTTTTTTTTTCCTAGAATTAGAGTTTTAATCTTATATTTTTTATAGATCAACCTAACTCTTTAAGCAGCTTTATATTTAGATTACGTGAGATTCAAGCATTTACTCAGTCTAAGAAAAAGTTTCTTATTTCTTCTTTTTTTTTTTAATAATCGTTTTGTATTTTGCTAAGTAAGTTTGCGTTACATCATAAGAATTTTGACTACATTGTTGAAATACCTACTTCCCTTGGATGGTTACGCAAGAAACCTGATTTATAATTTGGGACTATTTTTCGGTACACTAACGTACCGGTAGGTTAAGTTTTTTGTTCATTAAATCTGCATAAAATCACGTAAAAATTAAAAAATACGCAAATCTAACAGTTAAAAAGATTTAACCTGCCGATATACGAGGCATATCAGAAAATCTTCCTTATAATTTAACATTTTTAAATATTTAATTCATGCACTATGAAGTTTATTTAACTTCATTCCATAATTAATTGACTTGTGCTTATGATTATATATATATATATATATATATATTTTGCTTGAAAATTTGTCTGCATGAAATTGGTGATGTGCCTATCTCCTTCTTCTCACAATCACAATATTTGATTAAAAAAAAAAAAAAAAAAAAAAAAAAAAAAAAAAAAAAAAGCAAAAGCAAAAGTTTTGTCAACATCAATGGACATCCGTGGCTACTCGACTGTGGTCGAAAGATATCTCCTTCCGTACGGCTCTCCCTCTCAATCCAATTGTATAATAAATCATAAAACAAATAAGTTATTACTCTTTTAGTTATCAAATTCAAAATGACATGATATTCATTTTCTAATTAAATACAAAAATCAATAAACAGATGTAACAACTTACAAGGACAAAGTTTATGAATATTAAAAAAAAAAAAAAAGACATTTCGTGATAATGCATGCAGAGAAATACCATCAAGAATACAGAACAAACCGTTTCTCTACAAATTTCACGGACAAGAATATTATGCACAAAAAGAAATTAATATTGTGGTCCCACAATCAATTCCCTTCGCAATTATATATACAAATACAACCAATATCTAATAGATTTGTAAACGCGTCATTGACCGGTCAATATGTTCTTGACCAAGTAATCCATATATATACATATGCATATAATACTTAAATTCTACGAAATTAAAATATAATTCCTTAAAAGTAAACGCGTGTTTGACACGTCAAACTCAAACACGTCACACACGGTGTCCGACACGAGTGGTTTTCCTCCATCGCTGGATAGTTCCGCACGTAAATTAACAAAAAAAACATTGTAAACAAAAAGCAATGATATTTGGTAGTCACAATGTCGATCGATCTTTATCATGTATAACATGTTACGCTGTCAGTTAAGGGAAACTTCTCTGCACAAGGCCGGAAATATAGATTTTGATCGTCACTACTATATAAGAACGTATCGGAGACATGGTGATTGATATATACCACCTCCAAATATCCTTCCATTTAACATCTTATATCTTGAATATCGTTTGCTCTTCCATTCATTTTTTTAAAACTGTTTGTTTTTGCTGTGGTACTTGTTCCATACCACGTACATTTCGTCCGTTTAGTTCATGAATTTAAACAAAAATTTAAAATACAACATCTGTGGTTCAAATTCGTGAAACAAACTCGCTCATTGTCCCTTCTAAGTTTTATCAAACTGGTATTGTTAACTAAAAAGCTCTTGCTTTCTAAGTTACTTTCTGTCTTTTTTTCTTTTTTCTTTTTTCTTTTTTTATTTTTTGTTGTCCTCTTCATATTTTACTCTCTCTATTCTCTATTTTCTTTTGTTCGTAGTACTAACCAACTTCATTTCTTCTAGTGTTCTTTTCCTTGCATGTCTTGAGGGACAACAGAGATTTCTTGGCAATAGTGCTCCTCCTACTCTCCAACAAACACAGATATATATATATATATATATATATATATATATTCAACTACATTTTCTCTTTTCTCTTTTCATTCAAGATGGTGTCTAGCATTTTTCATGCAAACATAAAGTTCGTTGAGTTACTACTCGGTGCTGAACCAAGCAACCTCAACAACAACAAAAAGAAGTGGCACTCTGCTTTTGTCACCATCTATTGTTCTAGAGCGCTTCTTTCCTTGAACAAAAAATATTCTATGTCAAAGAGTATTAGCCCCACCAAAATCCCACGTTCTCCTTCCTACACAGTCGTCAACTTGAACCCCGAAAACGGATTCGAAATTGATCAAATGAGTCTCATCGAGCTCCCCAAGAAGAAAAATCTTGCTCAGCTTCGAGAGCTTGGAGGAGTTGATGGCGTGGCAGAGGCTCTTCAAACTGATGCAGAGCGTGGAATTGATAGCGGCGAAAAAGGTATCGCGAAACGACACGAAGCTTTTGGCTCAAACACGTATAAAAAGCCTCCTACGAAGAGCTTCTTCTATTTTTTGTGGCAAGCTTTTAAGGATCTTACAATTATTATCCTTTTGTTCTGTGCCGCGCTTTCTCTTGGCTTTGGCATGAAAGTGCATGGAGCAAAAGAAGGTTGGATTGACGGTTTGAGTATTTTCATTGCCGTTTTTCTCGTCATTGGCGTCTCTGCAATTAGTAACTACAGGCAAAACAGACAATTCGATAAGTTATCGAAAGTGAGCGACGACATTCAAATCGACGTCGTTAGAGATGGGCGGAGGCAGCCAATTTCGATATTCGAAATCGTGGTTGGCGACGTCGTTTGCTTGAAGATCGGTGATCAAGTTCCGGCAGATGGTTTGCTCTTAGAAGGACATTCATTACAAATTGATGAGTCAAGCATGACAGGGGAAAGTGAGCATGTGGAAGTCAACCAAAGCCGAAATCCGTTCTTGTTTTCCGGCACCAAAGTTGTTGATGGCTACGGACGCATGCTCATCACTTCAGTTGGAATGAACACAACATGGGGACAGATGATGAGCCAAATTAGCCGCGATTCAGACGAGCAAACGCCCCTGCAAGCTCGCCTCGACAAGCTAACTTCCTCGATTGGTAAAATCGGTTTAACAGTTGCTTTCCTAGTTCTTGTTGTCCTGTTTGTGCGCTACTTCACAGGGAGCACAAAAGATGAGAATGGGAAAAAAGAGTTCGATGGAAGCAAGACAAAGGTTGACGACATAATCAATGCTGCGGTGGAGATCATTGCAGCCGCCGTGACAATCGTCGTCGTCGCCATTCCCGAAGGCTTACCGCTTGCTGTCACTCTCACTCTTGCTTACTCAATGAAAAGAATGATGGCAGACAATGCAATGGTGAGGAAGCTCTCCGCTTGTGAGACAATGGGGTCTGCCACCACTATTTGCACCGATAAAACCGGCACTCTTACAATGAACAAGATGAAGGTCACAAATTTTTGGCTTGGAAAAGAAACATTTTCAGAAGGTACTTACTCATCAATTGCTCCATATGTTATAGAATTATTCAAAGAAGGAATAGCTCTGAATACTACCGGCAGCATATACAAGCCTAGTTCGGGGTCCGAATTCGAGATCTCAGGTAGTCCAACGGAGAAAGCAATTCTCTATTGGGCTGTGCAAGAGTTGAAGATGGATATGGAGGAAGTAACAAGAGGGTGCGCGATTGTTCACGTCGAGGCCTTCAATTCGAAGAAGAAACGGAGCGGGGTTTTGATGAAGAGGACGATGGACAACACAATGTGGGTGCACTGGAAAGGAGCTGCAGAGATGGTTTTAGCAATGTGTTCAAGCTACTATGATGCTTCAGGAATTGTCAAAGACATTGATGAGAAGAGAAAATCCGAATTCGAGCAAATTATCCAAGGTATGGCTGCTAGCAGCCTAAGATGCATTGCTTTTGCACACAAACAAGTTGAAGTGAAAGAAATTGAGGATTCAAAGGAGACACTAGAAGAACATGGATTGACCCTTTTAGGCATGGTTGGTATCAAAGATCCGTGCCGTCCAGGGGTGAAGAAAGCGGTGGAAGATTGTCAATATGCCGGCGTAAATGTCAAGATGATCACCGGAGACAACATTTTCACCGCGAAAGCCATAGCCACAGAGTGCGGAATACTCAAACCGTTCGAAGACGAAGACCTGTTAAGCGATGCAGTCATAGAAGGAGAGGAATTCCGAAACTACACGCCGGAGCAGAGAATGGAACGAGTCGAAAAAATCCGCGTCATGGCAAGATCATCTCCCTTCGACAAGCTGCTAATGGTGCAATGCCTGAAGCAAAAAGGCCACGTCGTTGCGGTCACAGGAGACGGCACCAACGACGCGCCGGCACTGAAAGAAGCCGACATCGGACTCTCCATGGGAATCCAAGGCACCGAAGTCGCAAAAGAGAGCTCTGACATTGTCATTCTGGACGACAATTTCGCGTCCGTCGCCACGGTTTTGAGGTGGGGAAGATGCGTCTACAACAACATCCAAAAGTTCATCCAGTTCCAGCTCACCGTAAACATCGCGGCGCTTGTGATCAACTTCGTGGCCGCGGTTTCATCCGGCGATGTCCCATTAACAGCCGTGCAGCTTCTCTGGGTGAACCTGATCATGGACACATTAGGCGCTCTGGCTCTAGCCACGGAGAAGCCCACAGACGAGCTCATGAAAAACCCGCCCGTGGGCCGATCAGAGCCTTTGATCACCAACATCATGTGGAGGAACATCTTGCCTCAAGCATTATATCAAATCTCCGTCCTGCTTACGCTACAATTCAAGGGAAAATCAATCTTTGGTGTGAACGACAAGGTAAAAGACACATTGATATTCAACACTTTTGTGCTTTGTCAAGTGTTCAACGAGTTCAATGCGAGGAAGCTGGAGAAGAGGAATGTTTTCGAAGGGATACACAGGAACGGGATTTTCTTGGGAATCATTGGAATAACGATTGTTCTTCAGGTTTTGATGGTGGAGTTTCTGAAGAAGTTTGCTGATACAGAGAGGTTGGATCTGGTGCAGTGGGGTGCATGCGTTGGGATGGCGGCCGTTTCTTGGCCAATCGGATGGGTTGTCAAGTGCATACCTGTTCCTAAGAAACCAGTTTCTAGCTACTTGAAAGCTGCAGTGAGACATGAACCTATTTAAAGGAGTTAGGATTTTAGGACATAAGTTGATCTATTTTCATTCTTTGATTTTTTTTTAAAATTTTTTTTTATAAGCTTATAAGCACTGATGTATTCTTATGTATTTCTTAGTGAAAGATTTGTAATTACTTGGTACAAAGTTGTATTTGAAATAAAATTTATCTTGTTCATTATTAGTGAGAAACAGTTGACTTTGATTCAGTGTCAAGTAATTTGTATGCAAATCACAAGAGTAAAGCTTATGGGAGCCAATTTATCTACCACACCTTGCAGATTTTTCTCTGTTGCGAATACCAGATAAAAGGCCGTCTTATTTAGTTCTATTTTGGTTCCGAAGTCTTATTGATTCTTACAAAGGAGAAAATTTAGGTTGTGTTTCAATGACCAAGCCAAAAATTTATGTCAGTACAGCTAAATAACAAAAATAAAATTTAATAGAAAATAAATATCTATTAATATATTATAATTGTCCCTGACGGATTTTCATGCCGTCAAATATTGTATATGAAAATTGAGTTTATAATTCCTATGTGTTTTGACTTGGAGAAAATAATATCTTTGATGGGGCTATAAGATTACTTTTAGTGGGGGCTAACCTTATATGAATGTAATATAATATACACTAATATATATAATTTTAAAATTTTAAAAATTGAATGGGGGTTTAAGCCTCCATTGGACCCTTAATGGTTCCATGTTGTGTTTGGTAGGAGGAGAAAAAGATCTATAATTTTTGGGAAAATGGTAGAAAATAGGCCAATATGAAAAGCTTAAGAAAGTATATAGGCTAACTTTTAGTTATAGAAATTAATAGGCCATAACTTGTCAAGTTATGGTTCATAACTAGATAAGTTATGGACAAACTTGTCAAGTTATGATTCATAGCCAGACAAGTTATGGATAATAACTTGTCAAGTTATGGTTTATAACCAGACAAGTTATGGACGAAAACAGTAATTTAGCTTATTTATTAACTTATGTAAACTATTGGTCTATTAATTTTAATTCATTTCAGGCCTATTTCCCCCTTTCTCCCTAATTTTTGGGAGTAAAACAGAGAGAAAGAGGAGTATTTTTCTGTTATTATGTTTGTTATTTTATCATATGTTCTCTTCATATCTTAGTCATTAATATTCTCATATTCATATCTTCTCGTATTAAACAAGCTCTAAGATTTGCACAGATATCTAAATCAAGAATGAATTGCATTCTATTGTCAAGTGCACCAACTTTCTCAGACATGGAAAGGACTTAATATGAATTTAAGAGCATCTCCAATGCAATCTATAAATAATGTGCTAATTATAAATTTAATATTTGGTAGCAAAAAATACTATTCAATACCATGCTATTTATTGTGTCAAATTTCATACATGTTATATTTTGCGATAAATGTCCCACCAAGTTAGCATACACGGCAAATTTAGCACTTGATTCCTAGTAATTGATATGGTTAATTTTTAATTTAATCATTATGATATTTGCTTTTTAAATTATTTAGAAATTAAATATGTACTTTTACAACTTTCAAAACTTAATAATTATATTTATAGGAGAAGTATATTTTAACATTTCAAATAGCATTATAAATTGAAGCATAAATAAAAATAACATATCTTTATCATACTTTTTGATATCAAATATCAATTAAATTGAAGCATAAATAAAAATAACATATCTTTATCATACTTTTTGATATCAAATATCAATTAAATTGAAGCATAAATAAAAATAACATATCTTTATCATACTTTTTGATATCAAATATCAATTAAATTGAAGCATAAATAAAAATAACATATCTTTATCATACTTTTTGATATCAAATATACAATTGATATTTACATTTAGATCGAAGATGGTCTAACCTTCCGAATGCTGTCTGCACGCACTTTGGAACTAAAGATTAAGGCTCCGTTCATTTCGTTGATTCAAGTTTAGAATTCGAGTTTTGCTACAGTAAAAAGCTCTCACAAACAATCACATCTAACTTTTTTGCTACAGTAAAAAGCTCTCACATAAAATCACATCTCAACTCGAATTAAAAACTCGAATCAGTGAACTAAACGGGCCCTAAAGGAATACTATTCATGATCATGAGCATTTATTGGAAAGACTAGCTAGCCCGTCAATGCAACGTATAAAAGTCAAGTACATTCAATATATGCATAAGGAGTGAAGGCGATGGGAAGTATATATTGAGTGAAGTATATATATATATATATAAGGTCAAGCAACAGACTCCATTTGAAGATAAGCATGACAACTGACAAATAGTTGAATATATCTTGGACGTTGTCAAATAGACCATTAGCTATATACAACTAGCGGAATTCAGTCCTTTTTCTCTAATTGCACGTATACCTGACCCGACGTTAAGTACTACGTAGTTGCCAAGTTGTAAATGTTATTTTTTTTAAATAATAATAATCATAATATTTGAACAATCTATGTATAAAGACATACAACATTATAATGTGATAAAGATTTGATGGTGTAAAAAACATCGTGTATGCCTATCAAAAAATTCTATTTTTTTGGTCTTTTTATGATCCACGACAGTCTATCTATACTGCTATTATTTCTTTCAAATTGTCACGTTACATCATAATCATATCAAAATTAGAAAGCATGCAAATCTAAGGAAAAAAAAAAAAAACACAATATATATAAATCTAATGGGTATATAGTAATACATCCTTAGGATGAATTAACGGTACGTAGCAAGAGCTCTTAGAACTAGCCTGGAGCAGGGGATTCAAAATGAAGCCTTGGATATGCTTTTGGTGTGAATGAAGTCAAGAAAATCCCAGCAGGAAGAGGCTTCTTCCACTATTTGTCGCAAAATTTCGGGGATTTTAATCTGAGCCTCGTAATTTTGGTCCTCGCATTATTCTTTGTTACATTTTTTGTTGCGAAAATGACAAGTTGGCGTGTTGGGATAGGCCTAATTGTCGTTGAACAAGAGTAATTGATGGCTTTGGTCAGATGCTCGTGTTTGCGGTTGGTATGAGCTCAGATGGCCAGAAACAATGAGCCAAATCGCTCGAGATTCGGGCGAGCAGGCGCCTCTCGAAGCTCGACTCAAAAAACTAACCTCCAAGGCAAGGAGGGTAGGTCTTACTACTTTCCTGTTCATTATGGCAGAACCAGAATTAGAATATATTGGTAGAAAAGTGGTCGAGTCCATCAGCTTCGAGAATGGGAAAAAAGCATCTCCATCCGCTATATGATGTGATGGAAACTGTAGCTGGATCTGTACTCAATCATATGGAAGAATTGCACTGGTTGTGACAGTTACACTTGCTTATGCAAGGCGGAGAATGAAGGCTAATAACGCAATGGCATTGAAGCTCACGGCTTGTCCTCTTATAGGCTGTGCCACCACAATATGTATTGACAAAACCGGTAAGATTACTGCAAATCAGATGAATGTCTGCAAGTTTTGGCTAGGCAAAGAACATGTGGCACAAGGTACTTACTCATCGATCCCTCCGCAAATTGTTGAATCGGTCCAAAAAGTAATAGTTCCAAATTCTGCAACAGAAGTTGACGTTTCGTGGGCTAAACAAGAGTTGAGCATGGAAATGGAGTTAAGTGATGAGGAGTTTTAGTGTCCGCCAAATTGAGGCCTTCATTTCGGAGAAGAAACGAAGCTTCAGTTCGATAAAGAGGGAAAGGGACAACACGTTTCACTTTCACTGGAAAGGAGCTCCGGATATTAGTTTAGATATGTGTTCTTGTTATTATTGTTAGGGAGACACTACATGCGAAATTACTCCAATACACTTTAAGAGTTTAATTTGACTTAAGATGTTAACTTATTAGGTATTGGGTCCTTCTATTTATATAAATCACTTTACATTCTCATCCATTTTTCATATGGGACAACACACACATGTACTTTTCTCAACAATCTCTCCCTCATGTGTGTGTTTACCACACATGAACTTTTCTTAATAATCTCCCCCTCACGTGTGTGTTTACCAAGCTCCCTCTCGAATTAAAATGTCAAGTAGCCGGTACATTTAAGCATCATACTCTAAACGGAAGACAACTCAAGTATAGGAAAGAGAGCCAAAACTATGCGAGTACACCAAATGCTCCACCATCCGCGCACCGGTGAGAGCACCAACTCTCCACAGGAGGCAACGTGGAAACTGCAATCGAGTGTGATAGCTTGACCCCTACGAACCATCGGCTCTGATACCACTTGTTAGGGAGACACCACATGCGAAATTGGTCCAACACATTTCAGGAACCTAACTTGATCCAAAAAATTAACCTATTAAGTCTTGAGTCCTTTTATGTATATAAATCACTTCACACACCTCTGGATATTATTTTAGATATGCGTTCTTGTTACTATGATGCTTTTGGTGATGCCAAAGATCTGAGTTGTGTGGAGAAAATGGAATTCGAGCAAGTCATTTGGGATATGGCGGATAGAAGACTCAGGTACATTGCTTTTGCACGTAAACAAGTTTCAACAGAAATGAGATTCTAATAGAAGATGGATTAATCCTGTTAGGAGTTATGGGGATTCATGATCCATGTCGTCCGGGGATTAAGGAAGCTGTATGGGATTTCCACAATGCCGGTGTCAACATCAAAATGATTACCGGGGACAACATTTTCACAGCAATGGCTATAGCCAGAGAGTGCGGAATACTTGGAGCAAGTGACGACTTGTCTAGCGGAGCAGTTTATAGAAGGCATGGAGTTTCAAAACTACTCTGAAAGAGAGAGAATGGAGCGAGTCGCGTGATGGCAAGATCGGCTCCTTATGACAAGCGCTTATTGGTAGAATGCTTGAAGCAAAAAGGCCATGCAGTTGCAGTCATTGGAGATGGCACAAATGACGCACCGGCATTCAAGAAAGCTAATATAGGACTCTCTATCGGAACTCAAGGCACTAAAATTGCCGAGGAGAGCTCCGATATCATCATAATGAACGATGACTTTGCTACATTGGTCACAGTTTTCAAATTGGGAAGGTGTATTTAGAGCAATGCCCAGAAGTTGATTCAGTTCCACGTAATAGTGAATTCTGCATTAGTTGTAATCAACTTGGTTACCGGATTATCTCTCTCCATCCCGTGAAGTCCTATTAAAAGATCTCGAGATATTGTGGTTAAATCTTAATTATATACACACTGGGGTTTCTGATTCTTGCCATGGAAAAGCCTCCAAAATACTTATGGAGAAGCCATCAATGGTTTGTAAAAATTAGCCTCTCATCACTAACATCATGTTGAGAAACATGTTATTTGGAGCTCTATACCAAATGCTACTGACATTACACATCAAGTGCAAATCAATCTCGTCTACAGGATACGGTAAGAAAAACGACACCCTTATTTTCAATGCCTTCGTGCTTTGCCAAGCCTGCAGTGTTGTCAATGCAAGGGAGCCTGAGAAGAAGAATGTCTTTAAGAGATTCATAGGAAGAAAATGTTTGTTGGCATAACGGCGATGCTCATTGTCGTTCAGTTGGTGATGGTTGATCTTCTGATGTAGAGATTGAAGAGGAAACAATGTGGGGTTTTGTGTTGGAATAGCAAGTTATTATCTCTTGGCCAAGTGCATCCCTATTCCCTCTTGGCTTATTTAACCAAGAAAAATTGTCATAATAAAATTCCAAGATATATATAGCCTGCAATTTGAAATTTCAGAGTCTTTAGTTACTTTGATGTTGAAATGACATAATACCCATTTGTCAAAATACTACTTTCACCTTCTTATTATGCAAATACTTAAAATATCTACTGTATTTATAAAAATAGACTCAAAATACCCTCTAAAGCAATTAAATTTTTTTAAATACTAAAACTATCCTTCCCAATTTTTGTTAAATACAATTTAAAACATTATTAAATCAAAATGTTAAATAAAATCAATCTTAAAAAATAGAAAACTCTTAAAATAATTGAAGTATTTCTTTGATTGGAATATTTATTTAAACTTTTTTTTTTAAATCCTTTATTTAAATTTTTTAGTTAAATCATATCTAAACTAGCGTTTAATATAAATTGGAGTGGGTAATCATGGTATTTTTAAATATTTAACTGCTTCATCAGGGTGTGCTTTGGTTCCCCTTTTATAAACATGGGGGTGTTTTGAGCATTTTCATAATAAGAGTGAAAGTGGTATTTTGATAAAATGCAAGGCGTAGTTTGTGTATTTTCCCTATTGAAATTTACTCTTGCTTCTTATTGAAGGGTTTTATATATATTATATGATATATGTACATCTGTATGTCGATGTGTATGCGTATGTATGTTTCTCTGATCTGTTTAAAAATAAGGTCGCAGAAGAAGATTGAAAGTCTTTATGAGAGTTTAAATTTGGCATTTTTTTGTTATTAACTTTTGAAGAAAAACGATAAGCACGGAGACGCCCGCAAAGCTGTTTAGTTCATATCTATACGGTATTAACGAGGAAAAAATAACTCTTCCAGTGTTGGGTTTGTAACATCAGTTTTTCGCAATTTTTTACCAGAGTTAAATTAGTAAGACTATAAAAGCAATAAATAAATAGGCACAGAAAGTTAATGTTACGGTTCAGTAATAATTTACGTCTGTGGGGTCGCACTCAGACATTAAATAATTCACTAATTCTCAAGGATTACAATCACTAATGACTTATGCAATCTAAAAGACTCCCTCTCGTAATTGCCGTCTAGGTCCTTATTATATAACAAATAGCTAGATCTATTCAGCGAGCACTACTCGTCTTCAAAATCTGTACGGTGAAATCCCTTCAACTGGCAGAGACTATCTCCCAAAATGTTCTAATTCTTCTCCCGAAAAATAATGAACGGTTGAACTCCCTTTAACATTGTAAACATTTTCTCCTAAAGACTACTACTTCTTCTCCTGAAGAATGATAATAGAAACTTCTCAAAATATTATGCATGAAATCCAAGAAGCCAACAGAATGAATAGCCTAGAGTTGTATTTATAGAACAAGCATTCCTTATCTATTTCATGTTGGCTCAATCCAATTCTATTTCAAATTATATCCACGTGCTTGTGTTCACAATATCTCCACTTTATCATTATCTCCATCTTCACGTGCATGTCTCCACTTTTTACCTGCAATTTTTGTTGAAAATTCAAAACTGTCGCACAATCTGTTCCGCTGAATTGTTTCAACACTATCTTATATTCACTTTAAAATCTGAACTTAGTAACATGTGCTCTGTTTTCTGCTCTATCTTCACAAAAAGTCCAAATTCTATTTAAAATTCAATTTAAACTAGGATTATCTCACTAAAACTTTATCTTCTTCAGCACATATCCTAATATGTCACGAACTCTGCCCAAGGATAACTCCCATGACAAACCATCAGCAAATCTTTTCATCTTGAAATTAAAATACTTTGATCAGATAAAACATGCTCATCATGTCATCATCTTCTCAAACCTGTTTTTGAATTTTCCTAAAAAAAAAACACGTTGTCAAAAATTGCCAACTAAAAAACCTAACAAGGTTAGGGCTAGACGTTTGTCTGATTTCTTACCAGCTAATATAACCAATGACATGGCTTCAATATTTCGAGTTATATGGTGTAGAATCAGATGCTACTAATGTTGTTAAGGTTGTATCAATAGTGGTGGCATGGCGGGAAAAGACAATCTATCAAGGCACTCGTAACTAGCATCAAAGATTGATTTATATTATTCGCATCGACACTGAAATTATGTCTCTCATCGGTATGCTGAATATGACTTGTGTTTTGGATTCCCTCAATGCTAGTTGAGAAAAGCCATTTCACTCTTAGTAGAATATTGTCAAACAAGGAACATGAGAACACCATTATTTTAGCACAAAAATGGGTTATTCACATTATTGACCCTTGGATAAGCATATGCTTCATTTTGACCATTGACATTCTGTTTTAGACGTCTCTCTACCCTGAATTTTTTAAAATATACAATTTTGACCCCTGTATTAGTTAACTATACATTTTCATATGGGCTCGTTTAGTTCATTAATTCAAATTTTTAATTCGAATTGATATGTGATTTTATGTGAGAGCTTTTTACTGTAGGAAAAAAGGTAAATGTGACTGTTTCTAAGAGTTTTTTACTGTAACAAAACTCGAATTATAAATTCGAATGGATGAGATGAACGGAGCCATAATTTGTAATACAAAAGTGGGTCATGTAAAAATACAAGCATATTTAAAAAAAAAATCTAAATAGAAAAAATAGATCTAAAATCAATAATAAACAAAAACGATTGTGTCATCTTGTCTACATTTGTTGTTCTTTTTGCTTCTAGAATATATTTTTTAGGTTTTCTTGTTTTTTAAAAACCATTTTATCCCGTTTAAAACTCTCACCGATTAATCATCTTCTTCACATTTTATTAAAAAATTAGACACTTTAATAATAGACGGGGCAAACTTTATGTTTTAGAAACCTTAGAGTAGTTTGACCTCTAAAATTGAGTGTCATGAATCAAAATGAAACAAGTAAATATTCTCAGGGGTCAATAATAAATAAGATGGCTTAGCGCCCGAGAGACCAACCGTCGTAGGATTAGATGCCATTCCGTTGTTTTTATTCCTGATTAATGAAATTTGAATCTTTCCATTAAAACAAAAAAAGAAAAAGAAAAAACTAATGGACAAAAAATGTGGTTGTGTTAAAATGGAGTTCCTTTTTTTTTCTTTTCTTTTCTTTTCTTTTTTTGATAGAAGCGGTAATATATTGAAAACAACGAAGCAAAAGAAACAGCCTAAAGGCACCCAAAGAGACTAACAAGTGGTCCAGACCTTAACCGAGTGATCTACTAATACATTAGAAGGGATAATACTAAGAGACAAAGCACCAGGAAAACAGGCATGTTTTAGACCAATGAGCAGCGAAGTTAGCTTTCCTATCAATCATGGCTAACGTCCAGTTTGAGCACCGAGAAACGAGCGACAAAAACTCTGCTAAGATATCGGTAATCTGCCAAGGACGGTCAGCAAAGTCTAAAGTCGGCACTCCTAACCAGCCCTGCAGAGTCGCTTTCAAAAATCAGAGTCTAAGTTCAGCTTGCTGACTTCTTTGGCTGCAAGGATAGCTTGAGCCTCCGCCGCAAGAGGAGAGCTGGCAAAGACGAAGTCTACCACCGTGCTAATGAGCGCGCCCTCAGTACCTTTGGCAACTGCAGCAGTTAAGGAAGCACCCGTTGAGAAGACGATATGAGTGTTCCATTTGGTCCAGTCCGGTGGAGGAGCGCTTCAGCGAGTCGAGGGAATGGCGGTGGTGTTCAGATTAGGAGTAAGGATGGACGCCTTATAAATGGTTCGATCTTGCTCTTAAGCAAGCACTCATAAACATATTTGCAGACTTGGATGGTCATTCCCACTTTTCTCAAACATGACATACTATAAAGATCCTCATGCTTCTTGTCGATCAAAAGAGACATTTTGCTAAGCATTTTCGTATCAAATAAAGTAGAAGAATCCTTGAAAACATCCCACTAGGAAAAAGTCAAACCCATTTATAGAAGACAAACCCCCAGTATGATACAATGCGCCCTCAAGCACAAATTGCAGCACTAGTGCAAAGATGCAATTTTTGGCGCTAATTACAGAATGAGGCTAAGTTTTGATTTTCTGCACCAGAAGCCTCACATGCTTTTTATTAAGAAAACTGGACACAGAACATCTAGCAACCTGGATTTTAACACAAAAGGAGAATAGTAGCATTAATTAAGGTTTCTCCCAATCAGATGGCAGGACAGTCGCAGTATATGGTACAACAAAAGACAAATTCATCTAAGCCGGAACGGCTTGAGGGACTTTGCCATTCTCCGCTGGGACTGCCAAACTATCGTAGTATTCAACCAACACTTTCCACCCACCGGGGCACATGAATCCTTCAGGAGGGTTCTCTTTGTTCCTCGCAAGCGTTCGCATCTGTAATACACAGCTCCAATTTTAGAAACAATCCAACCAGCAGGAAAGAATTGGCTGAACTGAAGTAATATCAAGAACAAGTACCTTGGTGCCAGATATGAAAAGGAAGTCCTGAGCTCTTGACGGATCAAAGAAAGCCATTTTACCTTGAGTTTTGTCATATGCAGCGACCTGCGATAGCAAAAGATTTGTGATCGATGGAATGTTTTAAATGGTGGCAAGTGAAAATTGATAACATATTACTGATTTTTTGCTTACCTTGAAGGGAAGAATGTTAAGCCTCTCCAGTCCAGGTGCCATGCTCAATACTTTCTTGCCATGATCAGCATCATACAGATCTCTCTTCTCAATTGGATGGCCCATACCAGCGGGGTCTCGACCAACAATGTAAAAGTTAGCCCCTGCATTAATCCGAGCCTTGGCATGCCACTGCACCTCCGTTGGACCAGCATAGTGCATTGGAGATGGGAATATGGAAACCACAGTGGTCTCTGGATCAAGAACACCATCCTCCAGAACCTGATAATACATCACATAAATGCAAAACAAATTAGTTGTTGGAACAGCATTCAGAATCCTGGGAAAAAATAGAAAATAAATGTTACTAGAAACGAACCTTTTCGTGTTGCTTCATTCGCCAACTAAGCGGAACATCATCAGCCTTTGTATACCCTCCCAAAGGATGGAGCAAAAGGATGGGGTTCTTGTAACCCATCTCAAGAAGTCGACGACGGGTGTCAGTCATCAGCAAGGCGTGACCATTGTGCACAGGGTTGCGAAGCTGGAAGGCAAATACTGCATCAGCATTGCGCTTTGTGAATTCCTCGCGGAGTTCAGCTGGAGACAATCGGAAACGATCTAGGCCGTCATGATACTTGATAGGCTCTAAGACCTCGAGATCACCACCAATCAGCCAGTTCCCGGCATTGGTTATGGCTTCATCGACGTAAGGCAAGCCAGGGGCAGTGGTTCCCCAGGTTCTCGCTATCCGTTCTTCTTTGTGGTGCTTGTAGATCTCAATACTGATATGAACAAACAATCAAATAAAGAAGACATTAGGAAACAAAAGCGAAATTAGAATGAAATAGTTATCTGGTCCAAGTATTTAAGGCTCAAATCCAATGTTCATTATAAATTCCAAAATCCTTATGAAGGGTTTGACTCATTGTCTGCAAAGAGACTTCTCAGTCTATTTTTCTATTTTTCTATGAAATTATTAGCTTCTACACTGTAGGAAGACAAACCAAAGCTATGCATATGATACGCCTATATTCCAAAAGTACAGAGATAGTCATAAAAAGAGACGCAAATAAAATTGAAAAAAGGAAAAGTTCAATAATTGCATTGTCCAAAGTATTGAAAGTTTGTACACCCATATTCAACAATCGACCAATTATACCCCAGGATACAGAAGCCCGGATTTGAGGAGGATCGTCCATGAAAATGACCCACATCAAAAGACTAAAACGTGCTCTCCATAAATAAATAAATGAAATCTTTTCCAACTACCATTTCCTAATAGTGGTCATCCTTCATATTCACTCAACTCCCCCACACATTCATGATTCCAAACAAGGAAAATTAGAAATTAAACATATGCCCAGCCTCACTAGCAAACATGTGTTTTTACAAGACGATTTTTTTAATACGAACTGATGTGATATTTGCTTTATTAAAAAAATGATAAAAAGTTGCGACATTATAATTTTTTAAGTATTTATTAGTTAAAAAAAATGACAACTCATATGCCAAATGTTACGTCATTGAATATTAAAAAATTAAGATCCCATATTATTCTTTGATTTACTAAAGAAACCCTATTGGATTGAACGTTCACATGTTACGTGACTTAATCTTAACAAAAATTGAGACCCCTTGTATCATTCTTTGCTATACTAAAACCTCTTGTATCATTCTTTGCTATACTAAAACCTTGTTCGATTGAAAGTTCATGTTTTAATTATCCCAAAAACTGAGGATAGAAGAAAAAGAAGAAGTACATGTTGAACTTGGTTTAATCTGGAGCCGCATAACAGAGTCAATAGCTAAACCAAACCGAATTTCTCGAACAAAAACACATCTTTATATATCTAAATCAAATTTCTTTATCTAAATTAGAAACCATATCAGAATATAACAAAACCCAAATATAAAAATCCCATTTATTCATCACCCAAATACCTCATATAACCATATTCAATAAAATATAATATCAATAGAAAAAGAGCCCATTTGTTTTTACCGGTTTGAATCACAATTTAAATTTTAGCGCCAATTTATTTTCACCGGTTTAAATCACAATTTAAATTTTAGCGCCCATTTATTTTTGCGGATTTAAATCATAATTTAAATTTTACCTCGGGTTTATTTTCGCGGGCTTTTTTTATTTTCTATTAAAATTTTGAATTTTTGTTCAAAATTTTTGCACAAACTTACAATCAAATGGGCCAAAAAGAAAATAAACAAAAACAAAGACGCTTTTCAGGCGAGTGAGGGACAACTTACTCATTAAGAATCGCCACGACCTTGTCGGCCGAGTCGAGCAGGGCGACCCGGGTCGATTCACCGATCCGGCGTTTCTGCGCGTCGTCGATGTCCAACACAATCGGCACCGACATGTTCACGAACGACCCGTCGTCGAGTCGCAGCGCGTTGAAATGAAGCGTTTGGAGGAACTCGGACTCTCTCATGAAGCCGCGAATCGGGCTGGCCCACCCTTCGCTGAGCACGTGGACCCACTCCAGATCGATCCGCGACAGCTTGATCCTCGGAAGCCCCGCCGCCTCCCTCCTCTTCTCCCCCCTCAGCCGCTCCTCCACCAGCAGCTCCACCAGCTTTCCTCCGTCCGGTTCGATCAGACTGGCCGAGACCCGGAGGCTCCGGCGGCTTCTCGGCCCGGTTCGAACCAGGACGGCATGTTTGAGCCTAGGGATGAAATGGGTATTTAACGATTTAGGGAGAGGTTGGGAGGGGGTAGGGGTTTTGGCGAAGAGAGTCGCCATGGAAGCCATTGGAGGTGGGAGAAGAAAACCTTGGGTTTTTTATTGAGATGAGTTATTTATTTAAATTTCTTTTTTAATGGGAAGATAGTGGAAGGGTAGTTTGGGAAGTGTGAAAAAGTTTGATGAAGAAATCTAATAAAAAATGATTTCAGATGGAACCTTAATGGGATTTCCTTTTCTTTTGTTGAATGTGCGAGACAGGAAGGAATTCACGTTGAGTTTGGTGTTTTATAATGGTGGATTAAGGAGGGGATTAGTGGGGAAGAAGATCACGACATTTGAGAGGATGAACCTGGACAACTTTTTGGCACTGTTTGATTCTTTTCACTTTTTTGAAATTTTTAATGTTATTTAATTGATTTGTTAATTAATAAATTGGCTGTTATAGTTTATCAGCAACTCGGAGTTGGGAGAGGGCAGGCTAGCATTTGTTGTCACATTGTCGTCCTTTGCTACTTTTGCCAAAGTACCAAAATTACCCTCCTCTCTTTTCTTAAAAAGAAATGAAAATGGCCCTTCTCTTTCCAAATAATTCATTTGCCCTTGACGTGTTTAAGTTATCGAGGGCCTTTAGAATTTATTTTAAAATAATTTTATTTTTTATATAAAAATAAAAATATTTTTAATTTTAGATATAAATTATTTTTAAAATACTTTTAGTAGTTTTATTAATAGATTATTTTTAGTGTAAAAAAATTCATTAATGTCTCTCTTTTTTTCTCTCTACTCGAGAGAGGAGAAAATAAAAATAAAAAATGAAAAATGAAAAGTCGTTTTTCATTTCTCTCTCATTTTACACTAAATTAAAAAATCGTTTTCATTTCTGTTTTTTGTCTTTATTGCGCCAAACGCCGTTTTAGAAACGTTTTTATTTTTTCTTTCTCAAAAAATGTAAAAAATAAAAACGGAATCAATTCTAAACACGAGCATTATATTCATGTTATATAGCAAAACAACTAAAAATAAGAAAAAAGTTTTCATGTTATGTAAATAGTGTAGAAGAATAATATAAAGTTGACATATTCAAGCTTAGAACAAAATTTATTGCGAATGGGAGAGAAAAAAAAAACATACAACAAATTTACTGCTGAATTTACTTTAGAGTGTACGTAATTAAATTTTTACATCTTATTTTTAATTAATATTATTTAACTAATATAATTATTTAACTAAAAATTAATGGGTCAATATTTATATGTTGAACATTTATTTGAAGGGATATTTACTTCCTATTCCTTTTGTTTAAGTTCACTTTCTGTATTTGATACAATATGTGGATTATTACCTACATTTTGTGCAAATTACCATCTTATGTGTGGTAGTGCGCTTAAGATTTTAATGCTAATATTGTGAATTTGTGGTGGTAATTTCTGCCTCTTCATAACCCATGCGAGATGCAAAATTATTCTAATAAAAATAAAGAATCAGCCACTTGACTTTTTAACTCGCATTTTTTTTTTTAATTTCGTGTCATTATTAAATTAATATATAACAATAATAAAAATCCTATAATATTTAAAAATGTATACAAATTTTTATGCCTCTCTAGTAAATAGGCAGTTTACTAGATTTATCATTACAATAACAGGAGAGTAAAACTTGAGTTAACACGATTAATATGATTAACAATGAACCTGCTTAAAAGTGTAATGTTTAATATGATCATTGGGGGTTGATACACACTGTGGTTGTTAGTAGGATTTAAAACTATACCAATATACATGTTCAACTTATAGTTGAATTTTTCAAGGGCAAAATAGGAAATAAAATTTAGAATAAACAAATACTGTAACGACTTTTTGACCTACTCCCCAAGATTCTTACATCGGTTAACATTATAAATATTTGTGATGTTTGGGTACACTTGGGATTTGGGAACAATGCTTGCCTAGTACAATTACATCACATGGATCTAACTGCCGTACGGTTGCAAGATTGACTAAAATATGAGTTTTAACTTCCATTTTTTCCATAATTTTGATTGACCAAAAGTCATTCAATAAAAACAATAAAAAAAAAATCTTTTGGCAATAAACTTTTTTCCTCTCTCTAACAGAGAAAAACTATGCTAATAGTCTAGTTTCTTTTATTAACACTATGGATAGATGATCTAAACGTTCCAAAAACAAAAACACATAAAAAGAGAGAGTAAATTTGTGCTATTTGTTACTTAAATATATGCTACATGGCATATTCTTTACAAGGAGGAACCAACATTTTTGTTACAAAACATAAATTGCCTTTTTTTTTTGGTAAATACTCAGTTATATAGAGACTAAATCAAACAATCCAAACTTGCTACATTGCTTAAGATTGTTTTAAAGCGTATAAAACATACATTTGATATAATATTTTCTTTTTTTTCTTGGATTAATTAGGGTTGTTCATGGATTGGATTGGTGCGGGATAAGACTTTTTCTTCTCCCGGCCCAAAGGGTATGGATTACACATATTTAGCCTCAACGATGTTAGAAAAATTTCACAACCCAATCATGTTTGGGTTGGGTTGGAGCGGTGCGGGGTGGGTTTAGTAGTCGGTTTCAATATTCAAATAATCAAAGACTCAAAGTTCAATCCAACATCAAACATGAAGCAAAGTAGTTCATCCAACATCAAACATAAAGCAAACATAAATTAGTCTACACTCATAAATTAGTCTTAACATAAAGCAAACATAGAGGCTTAATTCATAAATGAAGAAACTAGATAATATAAATAAGTTGACTGCCTAATGTTAGATATTACGGGTTTATACTAGAAATTATATTTTTCAAGTTGAATTGGAGTGAGGTGGGTTGAACCTGTAGATTTTACGGGTTTATAAACAGTCCTAAAATTAATTATCTATGAGAAAATGAGATAAGTACTTAGAATTTATAAATCTAAATTTTTAGATATTACTCTTAATTAATATTATTTTTAATTAAATAATTATATTATTTAAAAAAATATTAATTAAAATTAAAGAATAAAATTTCAAACGCATCTACTTTTAAATAAGTTCCAACAACTTTCCCGCTGTCAATTTATGGTGCCGCCCATGCATTTCGCTGAATCTTCTTTGTTTGAATTCAAAGAAGCACAAAACACCGCCAGCCTTGAATAAAGCGAAACTCACTTGTCCTTGTTTGTTTAATCTTGGAACGAGGAAATTGAACATTGCCCATTTCATGGCCACATTCATTCATATATAGCGTATGGGTGTAGTTTTCAAGACAAAATTGTCATCCTCTATCCATATTCATGCTTCCTTTTCTTTTTCTTCTCTTCATGACTTCGTACCTGACGTGTCGAAGCCAATCCTTATGAAACACGTGTTGAGCCGAGCAAGATACGACAATTAGTTCCATTCATCCGAAAAACCATTGGTGGTTTTTAGTCTTTTAGCACAGGAAAAAGGAACTAATGGATAATTATAAATCATTAAATTTTAATTATTCTCAAATCATATTGCTTACACAGATGTTGATCAACATCAAACCTCAAACATTTTTTATGTATTTTTACCTGGTTGGATGATCGGCTGAGTTAATGGAATACATGTTTGGACGCCTATACGAGAATATAAAATAGTTATATAAATAAATTAAAATATCTTAACCATACTAATCAAGATCACACGAAATTAAAGCATGCAATCTTTGAGGCACCAGTAGATTTTTTTTTATTTTTTTTTTTTTTTTACCAAGAACCCACTTATGAAAAAGAGTTACATTTACATATATAGGCCCCGTTCATTTCGCTGATTCGAGTTTAGAATTCGAGTTTTGCTACAGTAAAAAGCTCTCACAAACAATCACATCTAACTTTTTTGCTACAGTAAAAAGCTCTCACATAAAATTAAATCTCAACTCGAATCAGCGAACTAAACGGGCCCAATAGATAATTTAGAACGTGCATGTAAAGGAACAAATTGAGTGGATTCATCATGCGTGACCAAACTTTAATGATACTTTTTATTCTTCTACCGAAAAAAAAATACCTTTTATTCATGTCAAGTTAGGTGTAAATAAATATACATACATATATATATATATATATATATATAAATTTTGGCTAGTCTAGGTGTAAATAAATATTTGGGGGATGTCTTTTTAAGGAGACTGCAGCTGCCCTCTTGCATTTAATTAAAATAAATGGACATATTAAAATATCTAACTATAAAACTGGTCACTTTCTAGTATAAATACGACAATATCTAAACATTAGAATAATGAACAACTTTTGAGTTAAAATATAATAAAATCAGCTAGTTCGGGTCCTCAGGTTTGCGTTCCTCTTTAAGGGATGCCCTATCTTGGATATCTAATTTATTATATGTGGGTACGTCAAGAGGGCAATGTTGTAATTATACGGATGTAAATTAGACCCTCGGCTCGTATTAATAAATTCTTTTCCTCAGGGTTGGAGGTCTTATACACAAAAAAATAAAAATAAAATAATAATAATTATTATTATACGGATGTAAATTAGATCTAATATAATTATAAGGTCTAATTATTCACTTATGTCATTTTTATATGTAAATTAAGCTCGAATTTTGTTTTATAGAATATATATATTTATATTGGCATAAAGGTTAAGGAACCCAAGGACGCAAATCCCAATCATTTTAATTAGGCCAAATGACAGGTGATATGTTATTTTCCATTACTAATTTATACTGGCTTTGACAATATGAGACTATTTTATTGGGGTCCAGTAGTCCTTCAGAGGCGGCAAAAGGAAATAACAAAACATAATAATAACAACAACATTAATAATATTGAAAATAATAATAATTGTTAGGTATTAATTATGACTAGATCTTGTGGCAAAACTAAAATCATTATATATTGTTTATATTTAAAATTGAGTTGAATTTGAAAATTGAAAAGAAGATGACTTAAAGGAAGAATGACAAATATTTCAGAATCAATTAGAAAGAGAAAAAGTAAGAATCAATTCTATATTTAAAATATGTAATCTTAGGACTAGCAAAATCTGCACGTGCCAAGGCACGTGCATGTCCATTCATTTTTTTCATTTAATTTAGTTAAAGTGTAATTAAATATAGGTGATTAATTAAATAATCAATGTGCAATAGAAAGAGTTAAAAATAAATCATACATCACTTTGTTTTTTTACATTTACATGACTTATAGAGTTTCTCAAATAAATTTTCATAAGTTGGCGGGATACATGATGAGTTTTGTCGTCACGAATTTGAGGTACTCAT